TCCAAATCCTTTGAAGTATGATGAAAATCAAGACTCCTAATAACCACTTGCTCTTTCTCCCATTCCCTTTTTAACACTTTAAACTCACAAATCACCCCTGCTCATGGATTTAACTCCTTCTCCAGGTAATTTTAATTTGCCATTTGCCAGTGCAGTGAATTTCCCCATGTTTAGGATGGGGACAAGAGGTAGGACTTGAGACATGGAATTGCATGACAGACAACAGGCACAGTGAACTTCAGGTCTGTGAGACGTGTGCAATATTAGTTCATTCTGTAGCTGGATGAGAATGCTATTGATATTACATATCTTACCAGGAGGGCTGAGTGTTTGAAGGACAAGCATTCATAATTTGCTTTGACATCTGACATAATCAGGGAAGTAAAGGAATAATATTCCATTTCTCCATTGTCAAAAAGATAATGAGTTTCATAACTATTGGTATTATGGGAAAAATAGAGCCTATGTAGTGTAAAATGTATGAGAGCTGCTATATATTCTTCTATAAATTGTGTATATCGTGTTCTTTTGTTGGCCCTATTCAAACACAGCATGCCTATCCTTTTTAATTTTCTGGTTTGCTGTGCAAGTCTCTAACAAAAAAATATTTCTTTTTTTTTTTAATGAAAAAAGTTTTCTTCAGATTATTTATAGAAAGAGCCGTGCTGTCATGGAGTCTGTCTCATCATATCATTCTTGGGTATCAATTTCTAGGCTCAGATGACAAACCATAGCAGCTACTTTTCCAATAGCAGCATCTGGCTTCCTGGCAAACTCAAAATGCAGTTATCTGGAAAGCTTCAGAGTTGCTTCTGAGCACATTTTATTTATTAGAAAGCAGTTGTGTTGCTTTGCTTCCCATGACTAAGCCAAAGAATATTTAATATATTAAAAGGAATAATAGAATCTAGGCCAAGCTGTTGTCCCTCAAGTGGCAAGGAATGACAATATTGTTCCTTTAAGATGACCGTTTGTTCAGCTCTGAAGGACAATCTGAAACTCTTTGCTGTCACCCAGACGCTCTTCGAAAGGACTAAAAATTAAATTCAGCCTTATAACACCTCAAACTAAACTCGAGTTCACCCTTTCCTAGACTGAACACTCTGAAATGTGATGGTGACTTGTCTGCCAGCCTTGTTGGAGAAAGAAGACCCTCTGCACAGAGTGGGGTCCTCAAAGGTGAAAAACACAATATCCTTGCAACTTATGGTGAATTATGATAAAAGGAATAGGTGGAGGTCAGGTTCAGCTCCATCCCTAAAAATGAGTGAATTCAGCCTTTGTTTCACTACAGAATTTATGAGATTGATCATTTGGATCCAGCTCTGCAAAGATTCCCTAAGGTAGTTCAGTAGATATCACAATAATCTGCAACATCTGATCCAAAGTGCATGAAAATACAGTTCCAGGAACAATTTTAGTAGTAGTCCTTCTTAAACATACCTGTGACCCACTGACACCTTCTGCCACATCCCAGACTGTTCCAAGGTTCTGTGCTCAGGCTGGAGATGTGAAGCTCTGCTGCTGATCTGGTGGTTTAATCAAATCCCACTACTGCCCTGGGGATAAAAGGAGATTATCCAACACTGTACAAAATGGATGAAACATCCAGTTCTCCATACACAGCATAATCTGAAGGAGGTTATTAAGGATTTTTTTTTCTCCCAATATCACCACCAAATTAGATAGGAAAGATACCAAGACCCACAGAAGATGACAGTCACCAATAATACAGATGTCTTAATAGTTTTAGGACTTTCCTAGATGCTAAAATTCGTGTTCACATGCACAGAGCTAAAAGCTGAGAAAGAACAAGGGAGGATGAAATATCTGTTCCAGGCTTTGATGATGGTTAGACTGTATCTACATCAAAAGCTCTATTTAATTGAAGTGATTATTTTCATTCTGAGAAAGAACTCTCTCGAGCTCCTCTTGAGCAATTTCCAAAAGTTTCTTTCAGTGAAATGCTAGTGTTATTTTTCTAGATGATAGATTTTAAAAAAACTAAGAAAGCCTAATCTGTTAAACTCAATATGTTTGACACTTAGCAGCAGTAATGCTAAATGGTAACATCTTGCAGTTTTCTTCTAATACCAGTGGTGTCTCTGGGGCAGGATTTTATTAGTGACAGCTCTCACTGAATTCAGTTAAAGCCAAAGTTTTGTCTCCAAAGTAACTGTTATTCAGTTCAGAAATAAAATGATCAGGCACAAGATTTCATTTAAAGCTTTGAACATCAACGTCAAGGAATCAAAACAATTCTGTTTCAAGATTCTGTTTCTCCAGGGTAAAAATTATTTCTGGGTTTGGACTCTTGTCCTTGCACATTGTCGTGCTGAATTTCAGGGAGACGCTGTGGGGCTTTCTCTTCTCATTGTCCTGAGCTTCTGCCTCTGGTCTGAGCTTGGAACAATTGGATCTTAATTCTGATTGAGGACGGAGGAGGCTACTGCAGTGCAAAACACCCTGCCAAGGCTCTCTGCTGCTACATTCAATGGCAGTTTTATGAGGCTGTATCATAAGCAAAGGCTACAAATCAAAGGTGGCACGGTGGGCAACCTGTGCTGCATGCAGTGGGTCAGAGAGATTTCGTGTTTAAGAAAAGACTACACGCTTTTCTGCTGCTGAAGAGCGTAAGCACTTTTGCCTTCCTTCCGCCACGAATGGAGATTATTCAATGGCTGGATTTAATGAATTCAAAATCCTTAGAAAATCACTAGAGCCAGACATCAATGTAAAATACTCCACCAGCTTTCTGTAGTGGAATATAATATTAGCTCTCCCACAATCTACTTCATGCATTTCAAAAGAATAGAGAACATTTTTAAACTAAAGAAGATAGCTTGGGCAGAAAATGATTGCCTGCCTTGGATGCTGCTCTGTAACCCTTCAGGAGCCTGAGTTATTTCTCTCGGGGCAGGAGAAACAGAAACAGATGTCTTCTTTGCAAAAAGGGGAGGGAGAGGAAGAGGAGCAGGATATTTTATTAATAAATGCTGTTAATGTGCTGTTACCTTGCACAGTCAATAGGAGCGTTGCTGCAGGGCTGGTGGCTCTGAGCCCGTGGAAACCCTGGGGCTTTGTGTCCCCTTTCTGCTGGTGGAGGCTGCTGAGAACCCACCAGAACAGCCACCATCCTCCCTGTGTCCTGTGGAATGTCTGGACTGGGAGTGCTGGAGGAGGAGGTTTCAGGGCCGTGTGGAATCCCTGCTCTGGGTGCAGCCCACCCAGCCCTCCCCCTCCCTCTGCTCCAGCCATGATCATCTCTCCCAGCAATACCGTAATACAAATAAATAATATTAATTAAGGCTTGATAGGTTTAAAAAGCTATGGAAATAGCTTCTCTCCTGCTGTTTCAGTATCTCATTTCCCCACTCTGTCCAAACCCCCAAAGCCCAGAGGTACAAACATATATTTCAAATGAGAAGTTTGTTGAACCTCATTAAACTTAAATGCTCAATCCAGTTTTTCGGAAGAAGGTTTCACTCTGCTTTTGAGTTTACCTGATTTCATTCTTCCATCCCTAATGGAGACATTAATTTAGAAGGTGGTTTTTGCAAAGGCACTCATACACCTACAAACCACAACTGAAAAGAAAAGCATAATTTACATTTTTAAACCAAGCATCTGACTTTGGAGCTGTTCTATGTTTATAGACTTCATGTCTGAGCAATTCGCCGAGGTCTCTGCGAAGTAAAGACCAGCTTTTAATTTGTATTTGCTTTTTGTTCTCCCAGGGTTTTTTTTTTCTGAAATGGACGAGCAGCTGAAAAGCCTCTCTGCGTTGGTATGCTGAGCATTGGAGTCACACAAGCACCTGCAGCCATCCACGCACTGCTCGGCAAGAGCGCTGTATTTCTCGAGGTTTGTAGCTCTTGTCCTCCCACTCCCTAATTCATATACATAAAACTGGTGTGCTGCCACGTTCCCTCCACACAAATGCATTAGCTGATCAGGAAGCCTTCCCATTCATCTGGCTTGTCACTTGCATGAGGTGGAGGCAGGACCGACTTGTCAGCTCGCGGTGATGGGAGTGAGGGGTGGAAGACAGGGTAGCGCGACAAAAATGGTGAAGATACTTCTCCCCTTGGTTTTCCAAGAGAAAATATTTTCAGGTGCTGGATTGTCTCCACACCCTTCCAAACAGGAGCAAACCAGGAACCCAAATACTTGCCTACAACCTCCTTGCATAATTAATCGCGGAGTGAGGCTGCGGGAGGAAATCATGGCTAAACCCCCTTGATGGCTCTGCTGTAGCACCTTGGAAATGTGGGCATCTTCTTGGAATTGTGAGGCCTCATCCCCACTGTGTTTGGCACCGTTTCCACGGTGATTTCCAGGGCAGCCCATGCAGCAGAAGGAAGGTGTGCAGAACCCACCCAAGAAAGAGCAGTGAAGGTGCAGAGCTTTGCACCTCTAGAGTGGGCAGGTCTGCTCTCCAGACAGATCCTGCCGTGCTGCAGGGCTGACAGCCAACCTGGTTCACATTCACACCTTCATGCCCTGTGAATTTCACAGCACGGCAGAATGCTTTGGGTCGGAAGGGACCTTAAAGCCCATCTCGTTCCACTAGACCAGGTAGCTCCAAGCCCCGTCCAGCCGGCCTCGAGCACTTCCCAGGATGGAACACGTCAGACGCGGCAGAGCCCGCTCCGACCGGAGGAGCGGAGCGATGCTCGGCGGGCGCGCACCGGGGGCCGGGGCCGGGCTCTCACGTCGGGGGTCGGGAGGGCTCCGTGCCTCCGGTGCCGGGGCCGGGCCGCCCCTCCCTCCCTCCTCCCTCCTGCCTCCCTCCCTCCCTCCTGCCTCCCTCCGCCCGGTGCCTGCGCGGCCGGGGCGGTGCGCGGGGGCGCGGCCGGCGGCGGAGCCCGGCCCCGCGGCGGCGGCAGCGGCTCCCCCCGCCCGGCCCCCGCCCCGTGACTCGGAGCCTCCCGCGGGCGCGGCGGCTGCCGGGCGGTGTCGTGCGGCCCCCCGCGCCCGTGCGGGGACTATGAAGCACCATGGTGTGGTGTGACCGTGGCGTCCAGATGCTGCTGACCACGGTGGGCGCCTTCGCCGCCTTCAGCCTCATGGCCATCGCCATCGGCACCGACTACTGGCTCTACTCCAGCGCCCACATCTGCAACGGCACCAACATCACGACGGACGAGGCGCAGGGGCCGCCGCGGCGGGCGCGGGGCGATCTCACGCACTCGGGGCTCTGGAGGATCTGCTGCCTCGAAGGTACCGGGGCCACGCCGGGGAGGTGGGGGAGAAACTTCCCGGGGGGATCCGGTTGGGCTCCCGGAGCCGCCGGGCAGCGCTCGGGCAGAGCCCGGCAGGAGCTGGAGCCGGAGCCGCCGGGCTGAGCCCCGCCGGTGCCGGGGCCGGAGCCGCGCCGCTGCCTCGGACACGGCCGAGGAGGAGGATGGCGTTACCGTGGCAACCGGCATCTCCGACATTGCCATGGGAACCGGCGGCGGGATGCGGAGCGCTGCCCAGGGGAGCGCTGCCCAGGGGGGCGACCTCGCTCCGCGACCATCGCCGGGGCTTCGGGGCTTTGGGGGGGGCTCCTGGCGGGGTCGGGGCTTTGGGTGCTTTGGGGCGCACCTGAGCCCTACAGGCTTCGGGTCCGGCCCTCCCCTCCCCCCCCGGGACTTTGGCTTTAGGAGCTTTGGAGCTGAACCACAGCTCTCAGGCAGGACAGCGGGAACTCCAGTTCCTCCCAGTCTGCCCTCAGACAGACACCGGGAGCTCGGGTTGAGGGGGTGTTGCCACCGCTCAGGTGCTTCAGTTTGGACTCGGGGTTCCTTGATACAGCCCGAGGGTCAGGCTGAAGGATCGGAACAATGAAAAGATGGGTGTTTTAGCGGCGGAGCTGGGCAGCAGGACCCCGCTCCCCGCAGAAGCCGAACATGTGGCTCCCGCTCTGAAAATGGAGTTGTGGAGAAGGCGCGGCGGTAACTGCGGGGACAAAGAAGCACATGGGTGCTGCGAGGTTTGACAGAGCAGGTCGCAAAGCCCAGATGCGAAACCACATCTGTCCGCCGAGAGCGCGGGGCTCCGGCCGTGGGAAAGCGGCACATCCCCGGCAAAGGGACGTGCGCTGGCAGCGGGGCCGTGGCCACGGGGGCTCTGAAGCCCCTCACCTGCTGGTCCATTCTCTCTGCGAACGGCCAGCAGAGCCTCCGCGGTGCTGGAGGAAAGGGAGAGCAGAGGAGCGATGGTGACTTGTGCCGAGCTGCTCTGAGGCTCGGGGGGCCGGGGGTACCGGAGCTCTGCTCCCCGCAGGGATGCGCTTGGCGGGCGGGCTGTGTGCGCCCCATTCCATCAGCACGGCTCAGCTCGGCACACGGGAACTTTGCAAACCCGGCTTTGTGCTTTATTCCAACTGACAGACGGCTCAGCCCAGAGCAGCCCAGCTCCGGTTCAGAGTCGCAGCTGTGTTCAGACGGGTTTTTTCCTCCCCAGAAAAGGCTGTGGCGTGGTAGAAAACACCTCATTCTCACGTCTGTTCTCATCTTCTCCTTTAGCTAATGATTTAAGGCTACAGTGTAACATGATTTTTCTCTTAAAATAGGGGATTTGCTACCTAGTGATAGTAGGCATACATAGAAGAGCTGTAGGAAAAGGAAATAAGTATTTTTAGATGCTAAAGAGAGAAAGAATTATTGAAATGTGAAGGTTTATGGGTAATAGCAATGCTTGGCTTTATGACTTTTAAAGGAAATCTAACACTCAGCATGGGCTTTTATGGCACCTGGAAAATGAGGGCTTGCATCTGAGAGCTCCTGAGTTTGCTTGAGAGGTGCTGAGCATCCTCCACTTGAACTGAATCTTGTGATCTTCACTGAGCTTGTTCTAAGTGTCTTCAGCCTCCGTTTTTCATGGAAAATAAGTTTGTTTGCATCTTGCAGGAGTTGCTGAGCTTGTTCAGCTAGGCTGGACCCGTCACCTCTGGGAAAAATCCCTGAGCTCTTCCCAATGTCAGGATTTCTGTGTGGTCTCCCAGTAACACCATTCGTAGAAGTGACGTGCAGCTTTGACTGAAACTGGTGGGATTTCTGCTTTGATTTCACCTGGGCTTGAGTCAGAAGTTTATTTAGGAGAAGAGCAGCCAGGGGAGCTGTGGGGAACGGGCAGTGTTGAGGCAGCTCCCAGTGGCACGGCCGAGCTCCAGTCTGGCTGCAGTACTGGTGCCCTGCTGGCACTCACCAGGGCATTTTCTGGACACTGGTGCCCTGCTGGCACTCACCAGGGCAAATGCTGGACGCTTGCACCCAGGAGCTGTGTGCAAGTGAAGCTCAAACCCCCATCAGTTTGGGGGATAAAAAGGCGTTTCATGGGACACATCAATCCGACAGCAAGAGAGCTGTGCTGCTCAAAATTCAAATGCTCATAATCAAATTATAAAGTTACAATTTTTAAAGTTGTCAAATATGTGCTAAGAATGCCCAATTTGAGAAAGCTGTCATCTGTTCCCAGAGCTGAGGAGCAGAGACTACATTCTCTCCTCCTTTTTCAGTATGTTCTGTTTTGTAAGATAAAATCTATAGATACAGTAAATTATTCATGTTTTAAACCATGCCATGGGACTTGGATTCAACATGGAACCATTCCTTTGTTTTATAAAATAATAAAACCATTTCTAGAAGCTGATTTCAAACAACACTCCCTTGACCATTTCAGAGCCTCGCTCATTTGAAGTGGCTGAGTCTTTTAGTAATCTAAAGGTAATATTGCAATTCTGAGGAGATACATAGCAGGAAAATAACTTCAGTTATGGATTTTTATATGTGATTAAGTGGTCTGGCTTCAAACTTATTTTTAGAAGTCTTCTCGTCTTTTGGAGAAATAATTGTTAAAAGCTCCTTAATTTATTTTAATGGTCTTTATTGCCATTTCACTCATGTCAAAAAGACAAATCTGAGACACAAATGTGCAGAAGCTAAAAATGCCTTAAACAGCCTCTGGAATTGCTTTTGACATACATAAAGCATTTTGCTGAGCAAATTTCGGGTCAATTGAAATTTCCCAGTAAAATGTTTCTCAACTCTATCAATAAAACAACCTGTATGCTGGATTTTGAGCAATCACCTCTTCTGTAGTCCCAATTTCAAGATTTCAAACAAAATTGCTGAAACAGGATATAAAAGGATAACCTTCTAAATCAATTATCAGGTGCTCCTCAGTGTTTTCCTGTTTTTCTTTGAAACAATATTTTACAACAAATTGGCATCATAATTGGAGTGATACAGCTTAGGGATCAAGCATATTATCTTTGTTTGGAGCTGCAGGGATGAAATCATGTTTCAGTGCTAGTAGTTGATACTACTATGGAGCTTAGTCACTCAAGAGGCAGCGTTAATGATACATCAGTCAAACTCTTGCCTATCTAATCCCAATTTTGTTCTTTTAGCATGTTTGTCAAAGGTGGAGGTAGGAGGTTCATTGAGTGGATTTTAAATAATTGTGCCGTTTTTTGTGTGGTTTTTTAAAAGTTTTATCCAAGGTAATTGTCCTCAGTCAGAAACTGAAATAATTCCTGGTGTGGATATGCAGAACAGAAGTGGCTGAGCCTCTGAAGATGGCTCAGCTGGCAAAGCTGGGGTTTGGTTTTCTGGGCCCAAGACAACCATGATAGCTGCAGCATTGGCAGCTGAAGTTAAAATGTCACCAGAGCAGGGAGTTTCTGACAGAGCCCCCATCAACCTGAAACCTGCACCCCAGCCCACAAATTCACAAGAAGAGCAAACCAGCCCCATTTTGGGTGGCTGCTGTTCTGTCCCATGTCCACACCTGAGCTGTGGTGGCTGCCACAAGCTTTGGGTCCCTGGGTGCAGAGCAGGGTCTTGCAAGCACAGCAGATGCTGTGTCCTGTGAATAACCATTCTGTGGTCAGCCTAACCCGAGAAAGGCAGATTAAACCACTCTGATTTCCCAGCAGCCCTGTTCCTATGGGAAATGTGCAGCACAGCTTCGTAAGCCTCGCACAGGCTTACTCACAAGGAGGATCTGATTAAAATATTTGCCTAGGAAAAAACAATGTTAAAAACACCACTTTATCCACTGAAAATGCTTATCTTGGTGAACAATCGTGCTGAAGTTAATAGGACAGCTCACAATAGAGCGCTCTGCAGGCTCTGTGACATCAAGATAGGAAATCAAGTAATGTACTTGTAATTTAAATTTATTCAAAGAGTATTTTATTAAACACTTCAGCACATGAATCTCTTTGAACCTATTGTGTCTACTGCTTTTAGTATTCCCTGTTTGCCATTTACTTTTCAAGTGGTGCAATTGGCTATTTAATTCACGTGGGCCCACGTGTCTTCCCTGGCTGCGTGGCTGGAACATTTATAATGGGGAGGAAGGATCGAGTAAATCGTTTATGATTTTGAAAACTTGCACAAACACACATTTGCACAATTATTTGCAAGTCTTCCAGCTTGGATGAATGCACACAAGCACGGGAGCTGCGGCACCCGCATGCGCTGCTTCCATGGATACTCCTGAAAACAAAATAAAAATGCTTATACCAATGCTTGATGCAAGCAAATAAAGGCAGGCTGCCACCCATCAATACTGCAAATTCATGGCTCATCTGAAAAGAATGAATATTCCTTAATATTCTCCAAGCACAGCTATGAAGCTCCAGCAGCACCACTGTTTGTAGTGAACTAAATACAACGCAGCCTTTTTATTCCAATGCTGTGGCCAAAGTGTTATTTGGTGTAGAGCAAATGTTAAATCACTCTAAGATCAGACATGACCTGCATAGGAGGTTGTGTCCACAGGCACATTAAGAGGTGGTTGCTCTTCTCAGTCCGTGCAGGCACACGAGCCTGTGCTCACAGTGGGAAAGAGAAGTGGTTGCAAATGGAGAATGCACAAATGGATGTCTCTGCTGTGAAAAACTTGTTTTGTGATGCTGTAGCCTGTTTCTAGGACAATATATGTGTATTATTGCACTCCTGAAGAGTGAACTTTCACCCATGAATCTTTCAACACGAGCATAAGCCCATCAGTGAAGGACTTTGCTGAGATGCAGACGCTGTTTTCACTCTGTCATTCCATACATGCTGCTCATACCGTCTCCGTTTCCTTGGTAAAACACGCTCCTGAGAAGGTCCATGTGCTTTGCTCACTGTTTTTAAGAGCAGAGCTGTTTTTCTGGCAACTGATGGACTGATTTTTTTAACAGCCTTTTTAGGTTTTTTTGTTTGTTTTTTTGTTTGTTTGTT